GTTAGGAAGATAGGAAGACCTGTACGGACGATTCGTGAATTCCTTGTCAAATGGAAGAATCTCCCTACAGAGGAAACAAGCTGGGAACGCGCCGAAGATCTGAACTCCGCCGCCACCCACATCGCAAGGTATGAAAGTAGTCGGTTGACAGTGACGTCAACCAATTAGGTGGGGGAGGATGTCACGGTCATTCTTGTCCAGGGCATGTTGCCCATGGCCGCATGCCCATGACAAGCCAAACCCTTGTCATGTCTTTTCATTCTAGTGTTTTTCCTTTTGTAATTCTAAAGCGTATGACACCTCAAAAATATCATGTCTAGGCCTGCCAGAACTAAAATGGCCCAGAATGTACTATAGGGGGATATGACTAGTCGTCAACTTCTCCCTACCCAAGGTTATATATGCTAAGCCGTTGTTATCTTTCTCTTGCTTGCTTATATAACGTCTCTTTCTAAAATCTCTCTTTCTAAAATCTCTCTCTCTCCTCGTTTTCTAAAACCTTCTTTTAAAATCGAGGCTAGAGGCTTGACCGTACGTCGCTTGGCCGTAGGCGACGCAAGAACAAATAGGCTGAACTCACTTGTTGCTAGAAAGTGAGTGCTGCACAATCGCTAGTCCGCTGCCTTCGAAAGTGCGATTGTGTCATCCGGCACCTGCCGCTCGCCAGTCGACCACTTTTCATTTTTTTTTCTTCTTCTTTGTCCTCTGAAATTCGTAACACCGTGTCCACTTTCCGATTTTCATATCTTTTGACTCATAGTTTGAATCGATATGATTCCTTCGGTAAAGTCTTAGATCGTGTTACGGGCTACGTCCTAGTATTTTTTTTCTAATTTTTTGCTTGACTACCGGACGAGTTAAGAGCGTCAAAAATTCGCTCACCGTTCTTGGACGATTCTCGGGTTTCTACCTTTGGATCGAGGTTTCGGCCAAACTTCTTCAAAGATCCTGTAGGGAGTTGTTCCTAAATGAATATATCAAGATTTCAGATCTTGATTCACAGAGGAAAACCGTAGATCTGAGAAAACGTTCAAGATCTTCCCTCGTGGGTTTTTCTGATTTCTTGATGTGAAATGGGACTCCAGCCACCCACATTCTCTTTTCCCTTCCAAGAAAGGCTCCTTGCATCATGATCTTGACCGGAGTAGACTCCGACGGTAGGTTTCGATGAGTCTTCTGGTCGTTCATTCTTCCTCCTCTCTCTAGGTTCTCTCTAACTCGTTTCTCTCACTATTTCTCTTTTGCAGGACTCTGGATGGGGTTTCATTTGGACCCCTTAGGTGGTTGGAGGGGCAAACTTACCTATTTGCCCCTCTCTCGACTTTTCTTATTTTTTTTTCTTTTTCTTTTTCCATTTCTCTTTCTTCGGGTATTAGAATAGGAGAACGAATGAGGAACACAGGGTTTTGAAAAGGTTTTCTCCGTGTTTGGATCTTGATTCCAATACATCGGATTCATGACTTTCAAATTTTTTAATTTTGAGTACGCGATTTTTGAAGGATCATCGCGACTCGGAATATAAGTAATTTTAACGGATTTGGTGTCGACCAAGATGAATTCATAGAACCTTCAGGTCTTATGGAGGTCTTCCAAGACATAGAAGAATCCCGTGGATATGCTTTTTTGGCGACCTTACTAATTTTTGGATCGTCATATTCTGGTTCTACCAGAGCTTCTGGTACTAATACAAAGTTTTTATCGTAAGTCCTGATTTCAGGAACTGGAGAAAATTGAACGGGAACAACCGCGTCCTAGTAGGTTGAGGGGATAGAAGGTCCCTTTGAAGTGGAAGAGACAGTAGGTCTCGATGGAGTAACAGTAGATGGCCCGTGTCGAAGAGGCAGAAGGCTTCGTTGGAGTGATAACCTCCAGTTGTTTTTTAGCAAGTTTTGCTTTAGATTTGGTCACCAAACTAGCATCCATACCATAGCTATCAACAATCAATGGAGCGGGGAGTGAAAAGCAATAGGTTTCTTCCATTTTTCAACAATATTTTCTCTGGTCATGGATGGTGGAGAGTGGTTGGAGAGAGTGTTTTTTTAGAGTAGGAATTGTCTTTGAGAGGTAATCCTCCAAAGGATTTTTTATCTCTTTTATAGGCAAAATTTGAAAACAGAAGCAAGATAAAATTGCTTGCCTGGTTTAGATACAAGATTCTTCACCTCTTTTTCTAAAACAAATTTGGATGCTTTGGAAACAGTTTTGATAACAAAGTTTTTGTTAATTAAATCACTCTGAAATTTAGGTATTTCTTTACTGTTGAGTAATTTTTTAAGTAGAGTTCCATATCCCCGAATGAAAGTAGACAAAGGATTCTTTCTTGTCAAAGAACTGTTTCAGATTCCTCCATATCTTATATTGGATGTGTCGATCTCCACTATTAAACTAGCCTTTGGGTTTATCAGAGATAGACACGGAATTGATTTGACAAGGGATTTGATGTTTTGGACTGTTTTAGTGTGTTCTTCAGTCTAGAGTTTTTTATTTTTTTGAGCCTTTCAAAGAGTAGTTTGCAAATAGGTCTGATATTTTGAAACAAACAGATACATAATTGAGACATCCAAAAATCTTTGAAGTTGAGTTTTATCCGTAGATCCAAAAAATTTGAGGCAAACTCAATAGATCTTTGAATAGGTTTAATTAGACCCAAATGAATTTCAAATCGAATAAAACATAGTATGGTTATCTGAAAATGGTCACCTTCAAGATTTATCTAAAAAGAAAACCACCGAGTTTCTCAATTCAAAGTCTAGGCATGCTGCAAGCATTAGCCCAGACAACTTCAGAATCTGATTTTTAAATCTTCAAGAGACCGCATCAGTTGGTTCAACATCTTCTCCCTGTATACTAGTAGAAGAAGATACAATCTATGATCTCAATGATCCATTTTTGGATTCTCAACCACCGTGTTAATAATCGCCATCTACAAAAGACTAATAGTAGTTAAACTATTTGGAGAAAAAAAATCCGAAAATTTATCTTGACATGTTCTCTCCTTGTCTTCTCTTCCTATATCATTTCTTCTTTTCAATCTTTATGACAAATTATTTCCTTTATTTGATTTCCTATCACCTTTTTTCCAATTTCTCTCGACCAATTTCGTCTCCCTGTGAATTATTTATTACCTCTTGTATATTATTTATTCTAAATTATTATCGTAATCATTGTAAAAATCTAATGTCTTTTACTTGTATTATGTAAAAAACCTAAAGGATATCAAGAATATCCAACCTCAAAACAATTATTCAAATAATATTTTATCCACGATAGCTACAACTTGAGAGCATTGAAGGAAAAATCTCGAAGAAATCTGGTACTCAGCAAGAAAGCGCGAGCAGCTCTGTACCAAAGATCGATGAGTCAATACCAATACTCAGATCGGCAATTCTTGATATGTTTATAAGAAGAGTTTCAAAAGAAGAGGCTGTAATAGCCAAAATAGAAGAAAAATTGGATAAAATTTTAAATCCAAAGGTAACAAGTTTGGAACCATCTGTCAATGTCGTCAACAATTACGACGTGATCAAAGAATCCGAAGATGAGATTGTAAATGAGGTAGAGGAACCTCTGAACAATCAAATTGCAAGGATTTCCAGAAGAAGTCAAAACAATACCAGTAATCAAAGAAACTAGTATCCTCAACCGTCTTTTCCGGATATTCAATTTGAAGAAAAGATGCTATAAACTGAAGCCCACTATGATGACCTAGAAATCTATGAATGGAGCGTCGATGGACTATCTGACTATCTAATAATGAATGTTGTCAATGAGATGATGATGACCGCAGGCGCATATAAATTGCAGGGCCATAAATTCGACCATCAAATAGCCCATGTCCTAGTAACAGGATACACCGGGCAACTCAAAGACAGGTGGGACAAATATCTTGATGAAGCAACTCCCCAACAGATATTAAACCACTAGGTTATTAGACCAACTACTCAAATCATTAAAGAAGAAGGTCCATCAACCAGAACCGAGGTACAACATGAAAGGATAGAAGACACTGTCAACAACTTATCTATACCCTCATAGAATTTTTCGTAGATGACCCTCTGAAGTACTAGAAGAGATCCGGTGAAATACTCATGAACCTAAAGTGCCCAACCATAGGTGATTTTAGGTGGTACAAAGACATATACTTCAACAAAGTCTTCATTAGGACAGACAGTTCATTAGAATTTTGGAAAGAAAATTTCATCAATGTGTTGAACACAACTCTCTGTGGGAAACACTCGCACTCTTTATTAACACCAATAGAGAAGAGAATACAAGACACTCAGTAGAATACTACTACTTTTTATTGTTTTTGGATTTCTTGGATGAATAAGCTAGGTAGGGTGGGGGGTACTACAGCCTAATCTAGACCTAACAAATCTAAATATAGACCTAACAAATCTCAATCTTTTCCTAAAATATCTAGATCTCTTTCTAGACCTAACAAATCTCAATCTTTTACTAAAATATCTAGATCTTTTTCTCCTCAAACCTCTAGGTATCTCTCCTAAAATTGTTAGGTTATGAAGCCTGCTACTTATTTATAGCTTGGTCCACAGTTATATCCAGTAAAGCTATATCCGGTAAAGCTATATATAATAAATAGCTATATATAGTAGATGGTTAAATCGAGTAAAGCTATATATAGTAGATGATTAAATCTAGTAAAGCTATATATAGTAAACTGAACTCTATATATATCCCGTCTGGTAGAGCTTTGAAAATGTACTTTCAGTTCTCTGTAATTCTCTCTAATTGTACATACGTGAAGTCATCAATAGAAAAATCTTGTCAGCCAGAGTTCTCCTTGCACTTTTCTCTATCCTGTTCTTTGTGTTCATCTAGATCGAGCGTGTGCGTTGTTGTGCGATCCTAACCACTGGTATTAGAGCTAGGCGAAATTCATCACGATCTGTGAAGATGGAAAGTTCAAAGATTGGAATTGAGAAGTTCGATGGATCCAATTTCGGTTTCTGGAAGATGCAGATTGAAGATTATCTATACTAGAAAGATCTTCACGAACCTCTGTTAGGGGTGAAGCCGGATACCATGACCACGGAACAGTGGAAGCTCAAGGATCGACAAGCCTTGGGGCTGATCCGGTTGACGCTATCCGGAAACGTGGCGTTTAACATTTTCAAGGAGAAGACAACGTTAGATATATTGAAGGCGCTGTCAAATATGTATGAAAAACCGTCGGCTATGAACAAGGTGTATTCGATGCGTAGATTGTTCAATCTACAGATGTCTGAAAGTGGACCTGTTGCTGATCATATAAATGAATTCAATATGATCATAAGTCAACGAGTTCGGTGGAAATTAATTTCGAATATGAAATTAAAGCGTTGATTTTGATGTCATCCTTACCCGAGTCATGGGATACTGTTGTTGCCACAATTAGCAGTTCCTGAGGATCTGATAAACTGAAGTTTGGTGAAATTCGAGATGTAGTTCTCAGCGAAAGTATTCGCAAACGAGAAACTGGAGATTCATCAGGCAATGCTCTCAGTGTTGATCGAAGGGGAAGAAGTATATCGAAGGGCCCAAACAAAGGGCGACCAAAATCAAAGAACCGAAAAAAATCTCCAAATAGACCAAACGTAACGTGTTGGAATTGTGGAGAAAAAGGTCACTTTCGGACAGGTTGTACAAGACTAAAGAGGAAGTAGAATCACAAATCTGGAGATGATGATGATTCTATAAATTCAGCAGAAGACATTGGGGATGCCCTAATCCTCAGCGTGGACAGTTCGATTGAATCCTGGATTTTGGATTCAAGTGCATCGTTTCTTTCGTCTCCAAATAAATAGTTGTTCCAAAATTTCAAGTCTGGAAATTTCGAGAAGGTGTATCTTGCCGACAACAAAGATTTGGAGATTAAAGGAAAAGGAGATGTCTGCATAAAAACTCCGGCAGGAGATCAGTGGACATTAAAGGATGTCAGATATATTCCTGGTCTCAAGAAGAATCTGATCTCTATTGGTCAGTTGGACAGCACAGGTTATGCAACAAAGTTAGGGAAGAGTTCGTGGAAGATTATGAAGGGTGCTACGGTGGTAGCACGTGGCTCAAAATCTGGAACCTTATACACCATTGCAGGGTGTATGAACATAGCTGCTGTTGCTGAGAGTGCTTCAAATTCAAGTCTACGGCACAATAGACTTGAACATATGAGCGCGAAAGGAATGAAAAGGCTGGCTGCGAAAGGAGTTTTAGAAGGTCTGAAATCTGTTGATGTGGGTCGTTGTGAGAACTACGTTATGAGCAAGTAGAAACGAGTTAGCTTCACAAGGACCGCCAAAGAATTGAAGAAAGTGCGGTTGGAAATGGAACCATATGTGGAGCAAGGTTCGACGAAGCAAGTGGGAGTTGAGCTTGAGTTGCAGGAAAACTCACTTAGTGATGTTGTAGCAGATACTCAAGAAACTCCTGAGACTACTGCTGAGGAACCAGATGTGGAGCAAGGTTCCAAGACAACAAAGCAAGTGGGAGTTGAGGTTGAGTTGCTTCGAAAATCACCAAGTGATCTTGTAGCAGATACTCAACAAACTCCTAAGGTTGTTGCGGAGGAATCAGCAGTGGAGCAAGTGACACCTGAACTGGTGTTGAGAAGATCATCCTGTACTATCATAGTACCAGATATGTATGTACCTTCATTACAC